GGTTTTTGGTCCCCAGCGCGCCCTGTAGTTCAGGTTTTTGTCCTCCCCGCAGCAGCTGTCACCCTGCATTATTCGCAGTCAGCTAAATGAAACATTATTCTAAACATATGCATCGTAATCAGTTCGGTCACACTTACAAGAACACGCGTTAATAAGGCAATCAATCACCCTGGAACAAGCAAGTTCTTCTGTAACAGCTCATAAACAGTGTGTAATGAAGAATTGGAGGTTAGCATGACATGCGTTGATCAGATAATCAATGTCAAAGATGCGATGAATGTCAGTAAATGTAGTTTTCATGTCGTTTCTATAAAATCTTCAATTTACAACAAGCAGTTCAATTACCCAGAAAATACAGTCAATTAAATAGGGGTGATTGGACAGTAGGGGGTGGATCATCGATCTTTGCATTTCTATCTCGCTGGTGGACATTTAATTTGGTTTTTCTATTAGCGCCGAAATAAAGAAAATATAAAATATATTAAACAACCCACAGATTTATTTTCTTGTCAAAAACAATTCGGGCTTGATGACAGACAGTCTTCTTGCATTTTATGATGAATTATTTTTTCATTCTTTGCACACTAGAGACAAAAAAAAATATGCTGTTATTTTGGACAGGGGTTTTTTGGCCACTGTCTTTTCCTGTTTGCTTTCCCATCTATCTCAATGCTTTTGTTTTTAAGGGTTACAACCCCCGCGTTAGCAAAGAGCACAGAAAAGCAGAGTGATACATCACCAATCCAAATGTGCAACTATAATCGTATTTCTTTAAGCGTTGAAGGGAAAAGAAAAAAAAAAAAAAAAAGAAAAGAAAAAAGGGGGGTGGGGGGGAAAGGAACTTATCTAAGAAAAGCCCAGGGGATCACTCCGGTATATATTTAACCAAACTGCAATTAAAGACAGTATCAGCTTGTATCATTTAGAGCTAATGCAATAATAATGGTAAATTACAGGGCCAAAATGGCTTGTGATAGCAGCCTCCGTATTCCCAGTAGTTTCCGCGTCGTTGTAATTAATGCCAGGGTGAGCAGTTGGCGAAAGAAAATTTCGTGGAAGGGACATCTTGGTGTTCAGATCGAATAGAAATAGACTGCTTTGCACACACCATTGACTCTTGCATTTTTCCATCGAAATATCGATTTTACGGCCGATCTGGGGAGCCCGGCAAGCGGGGGCAGCCGCGCGCTGGGAAGCGGCCCCGGGGCTTTGGGGGTGCCTTCGCGGCGCGACCCCGAGGGCACACCAGGCTGGAAGGAGATTCACCACCTTCTTCGCAGGCCGGGCGCGGACAACAGCGCGGAAAGCGGGCGGAATCGTTCCTCCCCGTTGTCCTTCTGGCGGAATTTCGCTGCGGTGTTTGCAAACACGCATCTGTTTCGCCGGCCAATTAGTGCTAAACCAATGTTTGGACTTAGCGCGCATCTGCTATAAACATGAGTAATGCCTAGCAGTCGCAGTAAAAATACTGATTAGTACGAATTAATCCATCTGATATGTGTATTAAAAGGCGCTTAAATATGTTGTTTTAAGAAGTTCTCGTAGCCCTGGATGCCACGTTTAAAAACAAACATCAGTACGCAACGTTTTGCAGCCTCTTAAACAAATAATCTCGCTTTGATTTAAATAACATTTATTTTACATGACCAAACACAATAAATAACGTAATATACAAAGCTTTATAATTATTGCACGTTTGTAAAATATTTTACAGTGAGTTCGTACAGCCAGCAATATTTAAAGCACAAAGACTTTATTTACAGTTTCATATAATAACCAGGTCCAACGGACCTAACATAAAACGAATTTATGTTAATTTTACCAACCAGCGTCCTCGTCGATCATTTAACAGACATATATCTACATTTTGGAGAAATGTAAACATTATTGCCAAAATCGTCGTATGTACATCCCGTACTTGTGTGATCATAACAAACGATTCCAACGATCGAAAAAGGTTAAGCTGGTAAAAGAGTGCTACGTTTTGGTCTATTTTCTTTAGCCTTAAATTATATATTAATAAAAAAATTTCAATGTAAACTCAGTGAACAACAGCTGGTATAATCGATATTTTTACATAAGTAGTCTTCCCATTCGTTCTTCGCAAAACGAGATATCTGTGGGTTAGGTGTCTTCTACCGAGCTGCAAAGTTATCTACCCAGAAAATATACACGTCTCGCCAGGAATCCGCTCCAGAAGCCTAAAGGATATTTCTCCTTTGCCCTTCCCTACCCCCGCCCAAGAAATCTGTTCCGTTGGACGAAAAAACCTACGATTTATGTTCACTGAACAAAACAGCATAGCCTTTAAAATAATTTCCTGAAAGTTTGTCATTAGAATATGAAAAAATCCAGTGTCTTAAAAATAGAAGTATTTCAGGACACTTACTCGAAATATATAATAGAGATTTTTTTTTCTTTATCTTTTTTTTTTTTTTTTTGTGAGAGTATACGCGCGCGCGTGAGTGTGTCAGTGTGTTCACATTCACACAGGGCCTAAACAAGCAATAGCGAGTTAGATGAGGGCTTCAACTCTTCAGAAAAATCTCATTATGTGAAGAGTGAAGTGGCTCTGTAGGGAGCATTATGGAAATATCTGGGTTTGATTTAATGAGGCTGTTCACATTGGTGGAATATCAACTTAACAGAGAAAAGTCTGCCCGGGGCGTCCAAGTTACCAAAATGAAAATTGGCAATTGAGATGATAAGGAAGTGGCTTTCTTGTGCGAAATCACTTCGGGTAACAGAGATAACATTAAATAACATACATTCTATGCACCAAGAACAATGTTTTATGTACCAAGTCTCTTATCTGTCTCTTCTAATGACTTCCCTTAGCGGGTTGTTAGTACTTGACAGCAGGTCTCTGTGCGGGGAACTTTTTTCCAATTCCACATTCAAAGGAGGTCCATCAGAGAACATGATTGGCAATTTTCGTCATAATCTGCACATTATTAGCATCAAAATTGACACGGCAGTAACACCGGCGGTTTTTGATGTGCCTTTCTTCAAGTTCAAGGAAGTCCCTCCAGTAGCAGTGGTTTGGTATAGCAGGTCTCGGTTACCCAGCGGTGGCTTTTCAGAGGCAAAGGCGCGACAGGGGTGCGTGAGAAATAAATCCGAGAGCCGTTTTACCGGGAGAGACGCTAAGAACGAGAATTAAATTTAGGAAAGTGTCTGGAAGGTAAACGCTTCGGGACAACAGCCTACACCTAGAGAGATTCAAGTATTTCCCAGGTAGCCG